TTTTTTTTTTTTTTTTTTTTTTTGCTCTATTGATTTTGTTTTTGCTTCAGGCATTGAGCGCGAGATTGCATCTTTACAAATGGAGGTATGCTTTTTTTTTCGCTTGCCTCTATCTTTCCCATCTGCTTTTCTCGTGATGGTTATCACTAATGAAAAATTATCTGCAAATTTTAGGAGAGAAAATTAGTGGCAGAGATCAAGCAAACAGCAAAAACAGGAAATGAGGTGGTTTTTCCTTGCTATCAGAATTTGCTTTTCTTGATTCTACTTAGAAAAAGTTCATGCTGTATGCTAAGAATCTATTTATAGCAGTATAGATTCTTTCATTACCCTGTTTTTTCTTATGTTTTAAACAGGCTGCCACTAAGATCTTAGCTCGTCAATTAGTTCACCTCAGACAGCAAATTACAAATTTGCAGGGCAGTCGAGCCCAGATCAGAGGCGTAGCAACTCATACGCAGGTGTCAAATTCGTGCTCTGTTAAAACTAATATCATATAAAACAATTATTTTCACATTTTAAAATTAATATCCTATAACTCAATAGGCATTATATGGAAGCACTTCCATTTCGACTGGTATGAAAGGTGCAACCAAAGCTATGACTGCTATGAACAAGGTTCGGTCCTAAACAATCATTTTTTTTAAATGATAAATAATATTACCTCCTTTCGATTCGTTTTATAATGTTCCCTTTTTCAGCAAATGGAACCAGCAAAACAAACTAAAATGATCAAAGACTTCCAAAAACAGTCTGCTCAGATGGACATGACGGTAAAAACTAGCTTTCTTTTTAAATTGGCTCCTTTTAACGGGTTTTTTTTTTTATTATAGTGAAAATAATGTCATCTTAGTTTCTGTGTAATTAATTAATTAACACACATTTGTTCAGATCGAGATGATGTCTGATGCAATTGATGAGACACTAGACAAAGATGAGGCTGAAGAAGAAACTGAAGAACTCACTAATCAGGTTTGCCTACTACTAACTCCCATTATGAACTCACTAATCAGCCTATCGAGCTCTCTAACATGATCTTTACTTTTTGTCTTGTTTTTGTTACATTTTAGGTGCTTGATGAGATTGGTGTTGACATAGCATCGCAGGTTAGTTTCGATTTCTGTTTTTCGAAGCTTAAAAATGGATGTAAACTTGACTAGTAAAAAACTAGTCAAAACTCAACTTTAACTCAACCCCATTATCTTTAATTTTATCCATATAATTAAATAATACTAATCAATCATCCATACGCATCACATCAATTATATTTCACTATTCATCTACTCACATAATCTTAACTAACCATCGCTTCCAATCATTTTTCTCATACTTTACGTCAAATCAACTTTAATTATTTTATCTTAAATATTACCTTAAATTAAACTTAAACTTCCCCACTAACAACTAATCATACCACATTTTTCAAAATTAACTATGGTTAACTAAAAAAACCAATCAGATTCATATCCAGTCACACCCTTAATTCTGCGAGTACTATTATTAACTATTGCTATTGCAGTTAAGATGAGACTTGAAAAAAAGTTGACAAATGCTATTAATTTTCTGATGTTATTTTTTATTATCTTTCTAGTTATCTTCGGCTCCGAAAGGACGGATCGCATCAAAGAAAGTTGTAAATGCTGCACCAAGGTATGTCTCTCTCACTGGCTGTTAATTCGTTAAAAGTTTCATCACCACGCGATCGAATTGTCCATGTATTATCATCTTGAAATAAATATATAGTAATTACTTAAAAGTTGAAGATACAAGAGAATGTGTGTAATTATTTAGTGTGGTATGTGGTATTTGATGATTTGTTGTGTGATTTTTCTTTTCTTTTCTTTTCTTTTCACAGTACTCCTAATGCAGCTACCGATGTCGAGGACCTCGAAAAAAGGCTGGCTTCTTTGCGACGCGTTTGAGCTTCGTAAATCGATGCCAATTTACATGTATTATATCAGTTCTTACCTATAGATTCAAAAAGTGTAATAATGTTTTCGAGTATATCACTATAGAGATTAGTTACTGGTGAAAAGATTTACAGGACTCAATACATTGTTTTTATGTACTTTTTTTTTTTTGGGAACTACTGTCTTGAGTAGGATATATGTTAGAAAATGCAGATATGATTGATTGAGAATGTGAAATCTTCTTATAACAGTCACATACCTAAATGTGTCTGTTTTTCTTGAATGCTTACATCATTAAATCACATTAATAATTCGAAAATTATATCTTAGAGCATCACCGATGCATAAATGTTATTATTACGTAAATTTTGACAAATGTCAATTAATTGAGAAATGCCATAAGTACATACTACTATACATAGATGTATACATAACACTCATATTAAAACGGTCCTACTAAAAATAAAAAATCAAGTGGACATCACTCCATGTGAGTGTTATGTATACTTCTATTTACATTTATTATATACTTGTAGCATTTTTCTAATTATATATCTAGAAATATCTAATAGTACCGAAATAATTTATTAGATATATAGTATAAAATGGGCAAATTTATTCTTGGTAGTGATTGTTGTTTTTATCGGAAATAAAATAATCAATATATGATAAGAATGAAGCTTTAGAATTTGAAAAAAAAAAAAAAAAAA